AGAAAATGCTTCGATATAATGTTTCAGATTTTTATAGATTTTTAAATATATTGTCAGTTTGTATAACATTATCGAATATTTAATAACAACTTAAGCCCTTTGAAGAAATGCTTAGATAATTTACTATAATCACTTAAAGAAGAGCCTTTATATCGATGTTTTAACTGTGAACCACACTATTAGGTATGAGATAACGATATAAATCAGAAATAGAAGTGAGCTAACTAGCTCAACACTAATTTTCTTCATGCACAACGTGAGATGAAAAATATCCTTTATTATCTTGCAACTTTCATTGTTTTCAGTCGTACTGTACTTTTAATTTCTTGTTGTCTGATTCTGTTATTAAAATTTGAGATTTAATTACATGTTTTGTTCTTATTTGGCCCCGTTAAAAACTCGTTTAGTTTTATTACATCTCGAACAAATCGATTTTAACCTCATAAAAATGATTTTGAATATCACATGCGTGGTATTAGGCTATTTGACTATTTTGGGATACCTCATTAAAATATTAAAAAGAAAATATTTAAATAGAACCTTTCTTAAACTTAAAAATGGTAAGAATAAACAATTGCATCACATACAAACTCAAGCGGTTTAAGTGCAACCTTTTTTAAACAATGATGCTTGTAAGTTTAATATACATAATAATGTCGATTTTGAAGGCGGTAAAAGATACCTAATCAGTAAATAAAGTATGAAATCGTTATCGATCCTAGTCAACAAGCGATATGAAAAAGAAACTGATATTAATAATTATAAGTTTTGTATATTATACAAAAAAGGATCATCACACATTAAGACGAAGTATAGAAATACGGTCCGGAAATATTTGACCATCCATCTGAGTATTAACAGAAGTTTGTTTCATTAACATAATGCACCGATAACTTATGCAAATGGATCACAGGGGATTGTTGGATATGTCAATAAGCCTTTTGTGCAATTGATAATGAACCTGTACGCTTTGAAGCTTACTTATGTCTGATCAAAGCTATAGCTCATTCGCATTAATGAGCTCATGGAGTGCATTAACAAATTGCTTCGGTGTATAGTAATAAAAACGATATTTACGGGAATAGAAGTAAACTAAAGAAATGAGGAACAAAAAATACCAAAAAAAAATCCCAGATTTCAAAAAATCTTAAAAAATGGAGACTAATACCTACTTATTTACAAAGCTCATTTAAAAGGTGGTTCAGTCAAGAAATATCTATAAAATTTGAACAATTAAAATTAATACTCAAAAGTTCTGCATTTAAGCTTAATTTCGTGCTGGGTTCTCTGATGGTGGAATTGAAGGAACTCAAAGTTCCAGAATAAAATTTTCCAACATTCGAGTTTACCACCAAATAATATAGGTACATCGCCGTATATTTGAACAGATTGCCATCAGAAAGAAAGATTATCACCCAGCAAAATAAGACCACGCTAATTCGAACGCGGAAAAATGAATAATTCGAAATATTAACCGGCATTCGAAATATAATCCGGAGAGTAAACCTACGGTAAAATGTATAGACGTAACAGTGCCTAGTACATCTATGAACATAAAATTTGTAATATTATCTCTATAATGAAGATACAACTAACGAAATGAATACTAGTTTTCCTATGAAAAATGCTTCCTATGAAAGTTGCATAAATTAGTTTTTTGTTAGTTCTTTGGTTAGTAGATTGGTGCACTGATTTCATAGATTTTTTATTTTTACATTGTAACAGATTAGCCAGAATATGTTATAATGTATGAATTGTATTGAAAATAGTGGCAATAGTTTCTTTAATGGTCTTATTAATTTACATATATATTTAACAATAATATATTTTTTGTATTCGGACAGGCCGACAGAACAAAATATTTATAAGCTGCAGTGCGGCCACCAAAGTCTCCCGCTATGTAGCTATAAAAATGAATGTGTTTATATAATTTAATAACTATGTGTTTATTATTATTATTATATATTTAATTTAACATTTAAGTGTATGTGTACCAATTTAAAAAAAAAGCTTTATATGGGAAAACTCGTAATTTTATTAATTTCGTCAAACTTAGTAAAGGTGATTCAGAAAACTGTAACAACCATTTATTAAATGTGTAAATAATAAACCAAGAATATTATTAAAGATATGTTATTTGATAAAATCAATAAAATGTAAGTTATAGCAAGAGAGTTAGCCTCCCTGTATTTTCTTTTCATGGGAAAGGCCATTGCACTAGCATTGGCGACATTAATAGACAGATGTTAATGATTTTATTGATTAATGCCTTCTCTTAAATCTATATTAAAATTATAAAGATTTCATTGTTCGCATTAATATTTTAATAATTCTTTCACCTACAGGAAGGTACATCACGGATAACATAGGATAAAACGTAAGAAAAACAGCTACTCTTCTATTAGACAGAGTAATATTGTTATTGAGTATTAAAATATTACTTGCTTTTACTCACTAACTTAACAACTACAATAGGTACAACTTAGTAGATTCATTAAAGGTCCAAATGACCAATTAAGCTGTAAGAAGACTCCCTAGTTGCGCTCACAGGCTGTTATCTGGAATTAACTGTTGTTTTAAGGCGTTACTTTCAAAGTATATGTCTTTCGCAATTCTTATATGAAGAAAACTTTCCGAATATCAGTATAACATTAATGATTCATTCGGTTTATTAATAGATAAGATTTCGGATGAAGAGAATTTAGAAGTAAGACATATAATTTAATTAATTTTTATTTGGCAGTCGCTTGACCGATGTAAAGAGTCTTGCTTTTATGCGCTTAAACTTATTTGTCTTGCTTTTTTACGTAAATAAATCTAGCGATTTACCGGTAACTAATTTAACAAAATCACTGGTAGTGGGTGATAATTCTAAAATATAAAGCCGTGGGTATTGATATTTTTTCTTTATAATGACATAAAACAAAATGCAAAAGAAAATATTAAAAGTATACAAAAATTATATAAAGAGGTTTTACTGTCGTCGTCGTCGGCAACAGTGGCAATCGAAAAAAAGGCTGTATGCCAAGAATTGATAGGACAAGATCGTGTTGAACTCGGTTCCTGAGGGTTTCACGATTTTGAAAGGTACAAAAAGTTACGGGATCGAGCAAAATATGTTTTGAAATATATACATCAAGCACTTTCATCTCAGCTTCAAGTGATATTGTAAACATGGTATGTGACCTCTTAACTCTCTAGCTTTTAATCAAGCTATAGGATATGAATTCTTAGCGATATTTCGTTTCATTTTACTACTTCGACATGTACTTGCGGCCGGTCGAAGTCGATCACAGAAGTCGATGATACCATCTAACCCGCATTGGGCCATTAAGAATATTTTTCGGTATAGCATTGTGAAAGCAAAATTAATCAAATATGATTGTGTAAGCGAATATGACGGTGGCTCGGTGGCGTAGTGGATAAACGCCGCAGCCCGCGATCGTAGTCGTTAAGCAACTTTCGCAAGGGTCGGTCACGGGATGGGTGACCAAAAATTATTATCTCGAGCTACTCCGTGCTTCGGAAGGCACGTTAAGCCGTTGGTCCCGGCTGCATTTGCAGTCGTTAATATCCTCCAATCCGCATTGGGCCAGCGTGGAGGGTCATGGCCCATCCTCCTTAACCATCCATAAGGAAGGCCTGAGCCCCTGCAGTGGGGACGTAAAAGGGCTGGTGATGGTGATGGTGATGATTGAATATTTATAATAAATACATATACGCTTACAAAACCTTTAAATGCTGAACTTGACATATATAGGGAATTCGAAACTAGTGTTAATGAATAAAAACTCTTTGTTTATACATAATAATGCCATTTATTTAATATTGCAACAATTTTTACATAATACTAATTTATCTTCTCAACATCGATTAATTTAACACTTTAAATAATAATAATACAATTTGTATTTCTTTTTCACATACTAACTAAGCTACTTTCACATTTTCACTATGAGAGTATTCGAAATATTTTAAAAATACCCAGCCTTTATATTATTTCGAAAGTTCCCATAATTTTTCAGATTTCTTTACAGGTACACATGAAAAGTTACTTTATACTCGAGACTTTAAAATTGAAAATAGTAAGTCATACACTACACTTACTACTTTGAAATGTCAATAATGATTTGAGATTAGTATAGGTCTATAGAATATGCTATATAAATAAAATTTAATATTTTTATAGCGCATTTCGCTTTGACAAAACCTCTGTCATACATATAAAAGTAGTATTTAGTGTGTTAGAAGTAAATATATATAATTTATAAAGTACAATTGGCAACATGTTTTGATCCAAGCTAAATAGGACCTAAAAGATTATACGATGTTTTAATGAAATTTACTAAACTAGTTTATAGTATGTGTATTGTTAAAATATTTATTATAAGATATACGGCTTATGAATATATTACGTTATTTTAAATAAATTTTATATACATAGGTGTATGTAGCATTTTATATATCAAATACGAAATCAAGTCAAAAAATATTAGTTATTTTCGAGACTACCAATCTGGATAATAGAAATATTCTCGTAAAAGTTATTTCCGGTTTTAAAAATAAAATCCATTTTAGATAGAATGGACAGTAAATATATGTTTATTAAAATTTTTATATATAACATTAATACTCGTATCATTGCACCAGAAACTTAGCCTTTTCAAAGATCGTTAGCCGCTTAAAATTTCGGAAAATAGGTCATTAAAATTATTCACTTACAAAGTGTCAACATATAGATATAAACTCGTCGTAAGTATAAAAAGTGTTTTCAAACTATTTGTGAAAGATTAAGGAGTTTTCACCTTAATTAATTCGTCTAAATTTTTAGTTAAATGAATTTCATCGTAGTCAATTCATCTAGACTTTTGGGCAAAGGAGTTTTCATCCTAGTCAATTTGTCTAGAACAGTTTAAGAATAATGAAAACAAAGTGTGAACGATTTAAAATTAATGCCCCAAACAAAAACTGACTTGGAATTCAATGAAACACACTACGAATTAAGATTGGCAATCATGACACGTCTCCGCAGACCTTTTTCTTCTGTTCTCTTCTTCATCGAAATCGTTCTTCTCCAACTCTTCGTTATCACGACCCAATCTGATGAAATGGTCGCGGGCCCTGCTGGTTCTTTGAGGATAACCACTGACCATAAGTTCGGAGCCTTGTTCATTACCCCTGTCGTCATCACCCGACCTACCTAGTCTGATGAAACTGGGATCTCTTCCAAATCTAATGAAACTAGCGGATTTCTTAGAAGGAGTCTCATACTCTTCTTCGTAGTTACGGAGTAATGAGTAAAGGTCGTCGGTAGTTAGAGTGAGAGGCTGCGATCTTCCGAAGCGGAGAAAGCTGTTGCCTCTCCTTATTGGTCTTTGCAGGGCATCTCTGAGTTCCGCTGCTGATGGTTCTGGGTTGTACGAACGGCCAAATCTAGGACAAAAGAATAGCCTTTTAGTTTTATTGGTAAAATAAAAATGTGTTAGGTGTTTTGATTGTAGCATTCTTTTACACCACCACAGCAGTAAGTAGCAAGTAGAAATTAGATGTTGAGGACACAGAACCACCAATAATGGTGATGATACGTTCATAATTGTTTAAATAAAAGATCAAGTATCTGTTGTCCTTGCTCAGATATATTCTCATATCATTAAGAGCTTAACCTGGGGCCGATTTGCCTCACAACAAGAGTTTGTTATGTTTATATTAATATGTGAAGCAAAAACTTTGTTTTATTTTTACAAAAATAACGCGGAAGTTGGAGTTTGTAATCAGGTACAGTATAATTTTCTAAGCTACATTGATTACTGTGACCGCATCAATATCCATTGTATGGTTTAAAAGATTGTACAGAGAGCGGAAAGTAAATTGTTTTATACTATGTCAAGAGAAAGAGGAAGTATTTGATTGTATGTTTGTTTGCATTGGATAAGCTCTGTTAATATTGGGTAGTTGAATAAATTCTTTCACTTAAGGAAAGCTAAATCATACAAGGTGACATAGGTTATAATTTTTGAGAGCAGTCACGAGAATACAGTAAGTAAAATATAAACTCAAAAGAATTCACTCTTTATAACACTGAAGGTGCCATAGCTACCAGTGTTGTCGATATGATTTAAGCTTTAAATTGAACAGAAAACCAAAGAACTTTTTCGAGTGAATGTGTAGGTTTTATAAAGTCAATGATGTTTTCAACCTAATAAAAAATAAAGAACTCATAGTTATTCAGCTTTAAGCCCTGTGTATAATAGTAATCTTATTTGCTTAATTCATCGATTCAAGTTCCTCTGATGTCTCATCTCATTAATGTAAGTTGTGATGATACTTTTAGGTTGAACTAATCCTGTTTACTAAATTTGTGAAGGGCGTAGGCTTTAAATCAAATTTAGTTAATACTAGTTCCGAATTGTGAAGCTGCAGCTCTGCAAATAGGATTAACTGGATGTTCTTACATCCTACCAGGTGCTGAAGTTAAAGCGCGTTATAAATTGAGTTCTATAATTTTGTATATTCCTAATCAGACAAAACTGGAATATGTACAATACGCCCTAGGCCCGCATTGACTCATGACCCATATTCGATTTGATTTCATTCATTGCCTGTCCCCTGTCATGAGGATATCAATAGGATGGTAATTATAATGCCCCTAACATAATACCTTATCATACTACGATCTATTGCACTCCTACGTCTGGCTTCTAAGTCTGGCGAACGTCGGACTGGTGATGCAGAACTGACCACTAGCCACACGGCCGCCAGCACTGCAACGCTTTTTGAATAATTCTTCATGATTGCAGATTTCTGTAAAGAAAAAATATCTTCGAATATCTCAAAAATTGCAATCTATACTAATAACATAGGGAGGAAAGATTTTTGTATTTTTTTTTTGCGTTGAATATGCTCCGCAATTACTGGAGTTATTTTAAAAAATCCTAGTAAAAAAAGTAGGCACACAAACACGTCACTAAAAAAGCTAGCTGTTCCTTGTGGTTCCGCTTGCATTGTTAAAGCGAATGGAAATGTTAAATCATGGTAAATAATAGCCTGTAATAAAAATATCTTCCAATGATCTCCACACAACATATGATACACACGACATATTAATGTCATAGATACACACATTACCATTTAGTAATTATAATGTTATCATGAATCTTAAAATAAATATTAATTATAAAGAATATCCTCACGATGTTAGGAGTTTCATAATTAAACATGAAAGACATGAAAGATAGTGTAAATAGCCATTCTCTGGACATGTACAATACAGTCGGATTCGGATCAAAGAATGGCTAAACTAATATATAACGCAAAAGTAGAACGAGATAAAGTTATCGTTTTAGATCAGATCAGAAGCAATAAAATAGCATCAATAAAAGAATAATAAAATCTAAGAGGCCCGTGTTATTTTGCCGACTTGCCGTTCTGTAGTTACGCCACAGATGCCCCGCAAAGCACGAAAATATAGATAAAAACAATAATTTATTAAGACATATGTAAAATAAAACAATCTAAAACCGAATTGAAATTAATACATTTGATTTCAATCCGGGATCCCTTTGAAGCGAGTAAGCTGTTTGCAGTCGGCAGGTCTATTTGACGATAAAAGTAAATATATGTGTATGACCTTTAAGGGATAAAATTGCTTATTCATTGGAAGAATTCCTTTTAAATATGCAAGTACGTCGTGTAGCTCAGTGGCGCTCGGTGGCGAGAAGTGGCTCGCGATCGTTGTTATTAAGCAACTTTCGCAAAGGTCGGTCACGGGATGGGTGACCAAAAAATGATTACATCGAGCTACTCCGTGTTTTGGAAGGTAAGTTAAGCCATTGGTCCCGACTGCATCTGGATTGGGCCAGCGTGGAGGGTCAAGGCCCATCCTCCTTAACCACCCATAAGAAAGGCCTGAGCCCCTGCAGTGAGGAAGTAACAGAGCTGATGATGATGCAAGTATGTTTTAAAAGATTTTATTGTATTAACTGTTTGTTCACCTTAGATACAAATGAGTAAAATGTGATTGAATTGAAACTTATCTTTTCAATAATTAATTCTAGAGTAATTATATTGCCTACATTTTAAGTCAATACTTTTCTATTATTAAAAATATAATAGTATAGTGACAGTACCAAATTTGATATTAAGATACGTCCTCGATATTCAAGGATGTATCGAGATGTGTTAAGAGGTACTGGCTACGAGAAGTTAAAAAAAAGAAAAGGGGACAATGCAGATAAAAGAGAAGGTAGTTAGAGGTATTAAAGGAAGGAAAAGGAGTTACAACCGGATCTAACTTCTTACTAAATAAGAAATCCTAACTAGCATTTCTTTTCTGTTCAAATAAAATCAGCGTACCTACCGAGAGGTTCAATAAGATTGACCTTTATTACTATATATTGAAGTCGGTTTAATTTGATTAGACCTCTTAGCTGTGACAGCGTTGTGTTTAACGCTGCATTCAAAGTTCTATTTTACCAAATCAGGCTAGCAAATCAGGTTTAGAATAATACTTGATATCGACACCATAATATACTACTCAAACGCTAAAGTCGTCAAAGATTTTCAGGATGATTTACAATACGAATATTTTGATGAAACATTATGATTAGTTTTGTTCTGACCAAATCTTTAATTGGTTTATTATCTGTCAAGTGACATTACTGTTAAGTGATATTTGGTACAGCGGACGGGGATATAAACATTATTGTTAGAAATGCTAATTTCTTTACATTTATACAAAAGTTTATGTCATTTTTTTTATATGAATGTAATTGCTTTGTATACCTTTATTGAGGCATGTTTTGCGTTTACAGCACATTTTATTGAGTTCCTAATAAGCCCATTTTTTAAATACCAAGCCTTTTCATTGTAAATTGGTTATCTTCACTTCGGATCCTTATATTTTTCATAATATTATTCATAGAATTTACTATACAAAAGTTTATAAATGTTCCCAAAGAAATTTGCAATAGTAAATAAAAATGTTTTAAAATGAAAACGACAATCACAGTTAAGTGTTTTTGCACCGAAAAAACATTGGGATTGTTTGGTATAGGGATTAGATGAATTCGTTCATCCGTAGAACAAGCATGTGACCTGAAATCGTAAGGCTTCGAACTACGGGAAAGTGATTTATAGTGACATCGGCTTAAGCCTGCTTTTACACCTAAAACGTGCGAGATATGTAACTATTCTAAGAAATTAATTGTGCTATGAAAATATACAATTATAAAAAATATTGCACGCGACGTTCTTAGACATCTGATTCTGTCGACGAACTTCGTAGCCAAAAGCCGGTTGCATTGTCGCTTTCTCAGTTAATTCCCGGTCGAATATGAACTACAAATATACCACAGCACAAAAATCAATATTGTATCTAGTATCTTTATTGTTTTAAATACTCCACAACGCGAGGATGTTAACGTTAGTATCTTGGAATCTAAGCAGTCTTTATGATGTTACAAATTCATTTTTTATTGATTAATTTATGTATAAATAAAAAAGGTTTTGATTTTGATTCGTCTGAGTATAAGCTGGCTGATTCTTTGCCTATGTGCATTATATTTTCTAATATTATTTTTCCATATTTTTAATACTAAAACTATGATACTAGCAGCTTCTATATCCAGTGTATCTGGAAGACCTGTTGTGCACCACCCCACACACAAAAGTCGCAACAACTAACTATTTACCTAAATGGTTTTCTCTCCTTTACGGAGCATCCATCCGGCTCACCACCAGCCCTTTTACGTCCCCACTGCAGGGGCTCAGGCCTTCCTTATGGATGGTTAAGGAGGATGGGCCATGACCCTCCACGCTGGCCCAATGCGGATTGGAGGGTATTAACGACTGCAAATGCAGCCGGGACCAACGGCTTAACGTGCCTTCCGAAGCACGGAGTAGCTCGAGATAATAATTTTGGTCACCTATCCCGTGACCGACCCTTGCGAAAGTTGCTTAACGATTACGATCGCGGGCCGCGGCGCTTATCCACTACGCCACCGTGCTACTCATCCGGCTAAAGGGTTACTATAATTCAAAAATATCAATAAAAAAGAACCTATATTATTTTCACATACAAAGACAAATAAATGTATCTATATATCCACATAAACAAAGGAAAAACTTAGCGTCCTAGAGCGCTTTTCCACAAAAACATATTTGTTCATGTCAAACATATCTTTCGCGTTACCTCCGGAAAGCCAGCTTTACGTTAACGCTCTCGTGTATTAAACTTTACAAGGTAACTTTATGTATGTAATGTCGAGTTTGTTTTAATGTCTCCAGTACAAATAACTTGCGGATACAATTCAGTAATGTAATCGTAAAACGTTATTATGTTTTCTGCGAGAACGAAACATGAATGTATTATTAATGGTTTTAGAATTTACCTGTACCATTCCGCTATTTACGTATAAACAACGAAATTTAATTAATTAATCGTAATTGTGTTTTGGAATATTAGAAGTAAATTTAATTATTTGCAAGTCAAAGATTAAAGAGCGACCATGTACTTAGTGAATAATGCTGGACCAAAAATACAACCCAGTGGAACCACAAAATTAATTACTCGAAATACTAATTTGTATATTTA